CATGTTACTGCTGCTGCGACTGCTGCTGCGACCGCGACCGCGACCGCGACCGCGACCGCGACCGCGACCGCGACTGCGACTGCGACTGCGACTGCGACTGCGACTGCGACTGCGACTGCGACTGCGACTGCTGCTACTCCTGCTCCTGCTCCTGCTCCTATACCGCTCCTACCGCTCCTACTACTACTACTACTACTACTACTACTACTACTACTACTCCCCCTGCTGCGGCCGCTTAACCTTCATAAGTGTAGGAAAAACTCCACGGTAGCACTTATGCAAGTCACAACCTTACATGGCAGCTGCAATACTGCTGCCTCCCGTTTCTACTGCTGCCGTTGCTGTTCGTCTTGTTGACGTTGGCGGTAATTGCAGCATCATGGCAAAGCTCGGTCGATGATGGTGACGATGGCAGCAATGGTAGTGTAATGTAACGTTGATGGTGATATCTATGCAGTGAAACTGAACTGCCAAGTGTCGTCAGGGTTGCCATAATGGCCCCGTAGATAACCGACTTCAGCAGCCTGCCAAAATTAACATTAGTATCTAAATTAGTACGAGTGTAATTAGTTGCCAATAACTTCGTTGCCACCATTACCATCACCATGATCACGACCACAATAATCACCAGCAGCGCCAAAGATTGTATCAAAGTCGTACTGACAATCCTCTTCATCACAATGATCACAGTCATCAGGACCGTCGGCCATCACATCACCACGAGCACCAAAACTGAGGCTCGCCATCAGTCAGTGTCTCCGTGCCCGTCGCAACAATCAGCGGCTACATCTTCATCACAATCATTTCCCTTAGCACTATCACAATTACGATAGTCATGCATCATCACCATCTTCATCATCATGATCAAGTCTAGTCACTCTCATCAAAGTCCGCCTACTCCTCATCATCATGGTCTTCTTCAGACTCATCGACAACACCAGCAGCTCACCTGCATTTAACGTCATCATGAATTATCATCAGCATCATCATCCTGTCCCTGACATGTATACCCTCTGCTGCAGAAGCTGGGGCTGGAGCAGGCAGAATGCTGCTATGAGGGCGAAGGGCATCATGCTTGTTGAGGACAGAACTGTGTGCCGTTTGTGCAGGCCTGGCTACTGACTTTGGTGCTTCTCTTGCAGCGCAATGCAATCTGACAATTTTCAACGACGGCTGCATGGCTTGCAGTTGAATGTGGCGCCGCCTCTACCTACTGGGAAGTCTTCAGATCCAATAGCGGCAGATCGCACAGTGCTGCTACTTGGGTTTCGGCAGATGCAAGAAGACATGCAAAACGAGAAGCACTCAAGCTGAACTTGTCCGTGTCGCTCAAGTGAGTTAACTCGCGAGCCAATCTTGCGCAACTGATGTGCAAAAGGCGATTCGCTGACACGAGTGTCAGCTCTCCGCGTTTGGGAGATGCACAGAGCGGCTGCCAGAGTCGGCCACAGAGAAAGGAGACAATAAAGGAAACAAAAATCAAAGAGTTCCAAAGGCCTTTTAATCCATGTTTCTTCCTCTGTGGATGGGTACCGCAGGCGAGGACGAATTAGCAGTCTCTCTGCTTGACAGAGTAGATGGTGCTGGGCACATGCTTTGGCAAGCATCTCCGCGCATGAGAAAGCCGCCGTGAGCAGGACCAGCAAGCGATCCAGGACCAGGATTGGGTGCGGGAAAATCGTTGCATCCAGACATCTCTGATAAGAACTTTGGATCCCTTCTTCTCTTCCAGGTATGGAGCTAGCAAGAAGCCCGACGCAATGCCGGGGCGCTGCAGCCCAGAGCTTCTTGCAGCACTGGATCCGTCCACAGTTTGCAGTAGCCTGCACATCGGACTGGTTGCAAGCACACATGTCGTCAGAATATACGGAGGGTGTAGGTGTAGGGGCTTTGTCGGACAGCCGGCCTCGACTGTTGAGATGGATTGGGTCCTGGCAGAGAAGAGAACGGCAGCGGTCGTCGTGTGGTCGTTGTCATCGTCGCGCGTATGATATGTACTACAACAGTGGCTCCAGTAGCTCCAGTGGTAACTTGTAGATAGAACTTCGTAGCTCCTAATCCGCAGATGACGGCTCTGACATAGCTAAGATTTGGCAGCTAGCACTACAAGTAGTAGTCAGAACCAGTTGTTGGGATAGGAGTAGTCGTAGTAGCAGGTTGTAGTTGTAGTTGTAGTAGTAGTCGTAGTAGTAGTAGTAGTAGTAGTCGTCGTGGTGGTGGTGGTGGTGGTAGTAGTAGCAGCAGCAGCAATGTGGTGCTGGCGGTGGTAGTGGTAGTGGTGGTGGTAGTACTTGTTGTAGTCGTCGTCGTCGCCGCCGTAGCGGTCGCCGCAGCAGCCGCAAAATTAATTATCATTCATACTGGTGGCTGTAACAGCAGCAGCAGGAGCATCAGTAGGTGCATTGAATTGCACACTTTGCTCCAGTCCCGTCGAAGCGAAGCGAGGAGACAAGGCATCGCTGCAGTGCCGCTTGCACTTCTCATTTCATTACAGCTACTCAAACATGTGATTGCTATCA